CTCTGCACATGATCTGACTCTTCGGAAATCTGCTTGTTCTTCTCTGAGCCTTTCATCTACAGACTGTTGAAGCCGTCTCAACAAAACAGTGCTGAAAACTTTGCCCGGGACAGAGAGGAGAGTAATGCCCCTCCAGTTGTTGCAGTCTGCCAAGTTGCCCTTTTTTGGAAGCTTTACAATCACTCCCTTTTGCCAGTCCTCTGGGACTTTTGAAGTTCGCCAACAGAAATTTAAGAGATCAGTCATTCTGTTAACAATGCACTGTCCCCCATATTTTAGCCTTTCTGCTGATATCATGTCTAGCCCTGATGCTTTGTTATTCTTTAACACTGCAATGGCCATGGTGACCTCCTCTGCAGTTATTGGGTCTGTCTTGACCTTGAGATCATTGTCTGGAAAGGGGTCCTTGAATATGTAAGTTAGGTCTGGCGACAGTTGGTTAAGGGTCTCTTTAAAGTGCTCTACCCATCTTGCATTCTGTTCTTCTTTCGTTAACAAAGTTTTGCCTTGCTTGTCTTTTATCGGTGCCCCATGTCCACTCTTTGCTCCAGTGAGATCTCGGACAATACGATGGAGGGTTTTTGTCATTTCTGCTTGCAGCTGCTTGTGCCTCTTGTCCCTTCTGCTCAATCCAGTCCCGTTTATCTCGCCGACAACTTCTCTTTACTTTCAGATCTGCTTCCCTATAGGCTTCTTCCTGTGTTTCATTTTTCTGATCTCGTCTACGTTTGGCCTCTTTCCTCTCATCTATCAATTTCCATGTTCTGTCTTGTATCCACCGTTCCTTGTATGAACCTCGCCTCCTTCCGTTAACTTCTTCCGCGCACCCAATAGTGGTATCTTTGAAGTTGGCCCACTCTTTTTCAAGGGTCAATATATCTGCAAGAGCCTCAAACCGGTTCGTTAGTTTCAATTGGAACTGTGCTGCAGTATCGCCGTCTTTAAGCTTCTCTACATTAAATGGGCGGGGTCGTGTGGCTCGTTTTGGTTGGCGTTTCAATCGGAGCTTACATTTGCCACTGACAAGGTAGTGGTCTGAGCCGATATCCGCTCCTCTGCGGGTCCGCACGTCTAACAGAGATGACCTCCATCGTTTGGAGATGCAAATGTAATCTATCTCGTTGAAGGTTTCTCCATTTGGTGATCGCCATGTTTTTTTGTGTATTTGTTTGTGCTTAAAATATTTGTTTCCAATTGAAAGGCTGTTGGATGCACAGAGAGAAATCAAGCGCTCGCCATTATCACTGTTGTTTTCTGCAGAGCCATATGGTCCCATTACATATTTAAAGCCAGTTCGGTTGGGATTGATTTTGGCGTTAAAGTCTCCCATCATTAGAATTAGGTCGTGAGTATGTGTTTCATCAAGAGTGGTTTGTAGTTGGTTATAGAAATTATCTTTGATGGTATCTTCTGCATCCTCTGTAGGGGCATATGCTTGGATGGTAGTGACTTTGATTTGCTTTGTTTGGAGTCGAGCTGTAATGATGCGGTCACTGACCGGCTTCCAAGCAATTAGCGCTGAAGCTGCTATTTTAGACATGATGATTCCTACACCACCAATGTGCTCATTATCATGTCCTGAATATATTATTGTCTTGCCATCATTGATTATTTGTCCACTTGATGTCCACCGCATCTCGCAGATCCCAAGGATGTCAAACTCTCTTAAAAGTTGGGCCAGTTTACCGCATTGATTCAGGGTTCTTACATTCCACGTGCCTATAAGAGTCGGTTTCCTTGCGTTGAAAGGCTTGCCATGTATCGGGTATTGGACTTCCAGTTGGCTTTGATCCAACACCGTCATCAGGGTTTGGCCGCCCTCGCCGCATGTATAGTTTTCATTATGTGTCGAGTTTGCCGTTTCTGTAGCAATAGTGGTTTTACAGGGTGGGGTCGCTAGCCCCACGCCAAACCCTCCTCCTTTCTCACCCGGGCTTGGGACCGGCAAATGTTAAAAAAAAAAAAAACAAAGCTTAAACTAAGTGTAATTGTATTAATTAGTTTGGATCAGTCATTAAAGTTGTACTAGATCTAGACCAACAACAATACAGCTGTGCGATTAGAAATATTTTTACCAATTGTTTTTGTTTAACGCTATAACATGCTTTTAGCTTTCTCACTACGTTATGGTCCTATCACTTAATTGCCTAGACCAGTTGGAAAAGGGGTAGGTGATCACTTTTAAATGCAAACTAATTGATACAACTACGCTTAGTATAACCTTTGATATTAAAAAAAGTATTTTGTATATTTTTCTTGTTGATATGAAGTGAAAACTGAATAAAAATCGTTTTTGGTAAATTTAACCACTGCGAAAATAGTTTAGTTGTTCTAGGCGCTAGATAACCGGCTAAATTGTATTTTTTTCGCCCACTGTGAGAGAATTTTTGATAGCTTAGTGAGAGTTTCAGTGCTTTTACGCTTATAATCTATCTTCTATATAATTCTTTTCTTCTCTCAAGAGTTTGGACGAGAAGCAAGAAGTAAAGGAAAGATCACTCTCTTAATCCCACGAAAAAAACAAGAGGGGGGGGGGGGGATAACACGTTTTCTCAGCTCGCTACGGATGTCAAACCCTGCACACTCCCATCCCCCTTCGTCCTGCGGGACGTTTGGACTAGGAAGTAAATTATCGTCGATTCTGAAGGAACATCCGAAACATGTAAAACATTTTACAAGCAAACATTTTATAAACACTACATAGCAGCGCCGGACATAACCATTGTGACCAAGAAGTCATGGAAAGAGAACAGGTAATCTACTATGTATATTTACAGGTCACTAAATAGCAGGGCCGGACTTAACCATTGTGGGACCCTTTGCGAAACGGATTTCGCGGGGCCAAGTTTGTGTAGGGAAGCGGATAATAAGTGAATTTTAAGAGTTTGTATTAGAATTTGTATTTGTATTGCATTTTATTCATTCTTTACTGCGTACAGAATGCCCTTACGAGCCTTGCGTGTAGCAAAGTCATACAGTATATCATAATAATTCTGTTTCCTACATAGATCACGCTCAATAGCAAGAATTACCAAATGTTTCAATCTGTCTTTGACAATTGTTGACTGCGAGTAATTCTTCATTAGTTTGAGGAGCGAGAAGCTTCTTTCACCAAATTACACAATTACGGCTGATGCATAATGCCGTGCATAAAATTGGCGTTTTCCACATGGAATGACACCCCATAATGACAATTTTTGTGTATATATTTTCGTAGATTTTAAGGACTTTTTTTGTATATTTTGCAATTTCGGGAGATTTCCAGGAGCTCCTGGTAAATTGTCAGAAGGGCGCGTGTAATCTGTTTTAAGTTATAAAATGGTTTAATTTAATACTTTATACAACTTGAATTATAGCGGGTCCCATGAAAGTGCGGGGCCCACTGCAGTCGCATAGGTTGCAGTGGCCTAAGGCCGGCCCTGCAAAATAGCGGCGTATGCTACGCCGCCGGTCGACTAGAATAGATTACTACATTTCTGTGTCTATACATAAATCCTAAGGGGTTGAAATAAAGAACTAGACCTAAAGCCAAAAGTTTACATTTTTAATAGACTTAAGAAAAGCTGCCATTTAACTCAGTATTAATTCAACTATAGCTGTACCGGCATTGGGTGAAATGTACTTTACTTAGTGAAACTTTAAGATCCACGGTATAAGGGTTTCGTTTTTAATTGATAATAATAATAATTTAAGTTACAGAGCGCTGTTAACAAACAAAAATGTAGGCTCAAGACGATATGATGACATTACAAACATAAACACGAGTGCTAAAATGACAAATTAATCTAAAAAGTTTTGAACAGATAGGTCTTAATGTTCTTCTCGAATGTAGTGTAGCATGTTGTCTGAGATCAATGGGGAGAAGTTCCAAACCTTTGGTCCGTGCAGTGAAAAAGCCCGCAAACCGTAACTATTGCGGAAGAAACGTGGAGTCCATAAAGCGCAGTGTTCTCTGAGGGACATATGCTATTGAGTGATCAGTTCAATAAGCTACAAGGGCATTTCTTTATTATAGATGCACTGATGACAAAGTGTGGCCACCTTTTATTCGATTCTTGCGTTCGCAGGAAGCCAATGGAGTGTGTGCAAGAGAGTAGTGGTAGAATCTCGTCTTGTTTTTCTTAGGACTAATCGAGCTATTCAAGCAGCGTTGTTCTGAATTGGCTGCAGTTTGACGATTTTGTCTTCAAGTAAACCTGGTAGCACAGCGTTGCAGTAGTCAAGGCGGGAGCGTATGAATGCCACAGATAGCTTTTTTTCTGTTGCCAACTATGGTCGGATCTGGCCTAATCTGCGCAGCTGCAGACCCTTGCAGAGCTGACGTATGTGTGGGTCGAAAGATAGTGTTGTCATAGTGAAAAAAAAAGATATGAAGAGGCCATGAATAGATATATAGGGAGATTGAAAGGCTCTTCAGTTGGCTACCATATAGTTTCAAGGCTCTTTTAAGCCCAGCCTCCATAACCACCATGCCGTCCTGATGAGAGCCATCTTTGGATGAGGAGAGGGCTCAGGGCAGGTGATAATTCCCCACGGTTGTGATTTCTTTAGCTTTTATTGGACAGTGGATGCTACGGAGTTTTCTCATTTCTATCCTTTGGAGAACGCCCTTTTTTTTTCGGGGGTGGAGGGATGGACAATATCAATCTCGATGTAGGACTCGATGTGACCAAATGAATTAACAGAAAACGTGCCATGTGAAGACTTGTTGACATATAAATTTAAAAAAAAAAGATACTACTGAAGAGATCAGGTATTATTTTTGCATGTCTAATATTATCATTAATTTAAGGCCTAGTAAATTTACCTAGTAATAATTTGTTGGAACTTTTTGGCGAACGAAAAACAATTTACCTAGGTTCTCTCCCTTTAACCAAGTTTCATGAGCTCTATAAATAGGTTCAGAGACACTGATTTATGCTAACACATTAAAAGCAAGGAAGAAAAACCACAAAGCTTTAAACTTTAAGAGCAAAATTAAACAGAACAAAAATAACAATGTAACAAAAAACAAATAGTTGCTTTATTGATCTGAATGGCACAACCCAAAAAACAAGAACAGACTACCAAGTATCACACAAATAATAATCAGATCAATGTCATTGAACTAGAGTTATACATTGCATTTCAAATTGTTATAAGCTATTGCAAAAATAAGCATTACATAAAAAAAATTGATTGCATACTGACAATATCATATTGAACTAGAGGTATCCATTCCATGTTTCTCCTCAATCTTGAGACTAAGACCTTTGTATAAATTTCATCTTACATTGCTATAAAGTATTCGAAATGTTCATTATTGATTACAATATATTTAATAAATAATGAATCTTGTAATGAATGAATGTACAGCCTTTACACTTCCAAATGTAATAATTTTGCACTTACACACACGATTTCATACAGATGTTTTATGTTCTTTAAAAAAAGTATTCAATGAAAAAAAAAAAATGTATATGTGGAAATGTTATGACAATTAGAAAGAAAGATAAAAAATTTTGTTTATCTTGTCAGGATATAACTTACTAGTAATGAAAAACATCAAATAAGAAAGAAATTTTAATGGGAAAATTATTTATGGGCTTGGTAGAAAAAGAAATCTGTATAATTGTGATCTATTTTTTTTGTTTTTTTTTCTTTACAAAGATCTCTCTGTTATCCCACAGAACAGTCACATTCTAAAAAATGATAAGATGATTTTTTTTTTTCACATTATATGTAAGGGAAAGAACCACTAATTACTGCCATTTATCTGAAAATGACAAGGTTTAGTTCCCTTCCTGCAAAATAAAACAAAATTAATTAGTTAATACTAATTGATTAACTAATTGGTAAATTTTTTTTATTGATCTGTGTATTGTCATCGCCTAAATAATTCAGCAAAATTTCACTTTGATCCCAGAATGGGAAGTGGGAGAAAAAAACTTGTCAAAACATACCGGTAATAAGGGGATTAATTCAATATACATCAACATCTCGCATAAAGTAGGATTTATTCACCTTATTTCAATATCAAGCAAAATAAATAATCACCAATAATTAATTAACTTTTTTTTTTATTGATTCGTGTCTTGTCAGGTACAATGAATAATTGTGCAAAGTTTTAACTTGATCAGAGAAATGGGAGAAAAAACATGTTCAAACATTTTACCAGACAGACAGACAGAGTGAGTTGATATAAACTTTGTAAAAAAAAAAAAGACATTGTTATAAACTATCATTAGTATATGTATAATTAGCAAATATCAATAGAACTCTAAAATAAACTGTTTTATTTCGTAACCCAGTGATCTTAGCATACAGTAACATCAAAAGTAGAAGTAAAAAATATTTACTTTTGTTCTAAGGCTGAGACTACTATCCTCTCATTCAGCTCAATATGAAAGCATTAATATGTAAAATACTGCACTCTCTCATTTTTCAAGCTTCAGATTAAAGGACAATGTCACTTTCTAGTTATTCTTAGGTAAGCCAAGTCTGACATAATTAAGAAACTAGTTAGTCATAGATAGCTTGGCTGTCCAGCAGAACATGGTGGGTTGATAACTTAACTTAGTCTTAAGTACATCAAACTTGTTAAACGGGGGGGTGTTACGTGCGCATCTTAGTGTAAATGTGAAACGGTGCGATTGCGTGTTGAAAGGGGAAGAAAAAACAAAATGGAGGAATATGAACAAGAAAGTGTTTTTCAGTGTTAATAAAAATTAAAGTATTTATAAACCGTGCTTTGTTGTTTTCATGTCTAAAGAGTCTCATCAAATATGAAGACATAACAAGTGGCCCCACTTAAGAAATTAAGATTTACACTCACAAAATGATTATTTATAATGCGTCAGCTCTATTTCAACATCTTCTCAGTACACCCAGAGAAGATCAATGGACAATAGATTTGTTATGCTGGTTACACACTACCACTGTAAACTGCTAGCAATAGAAAATGAAAGAACACTAAGCACCAAATATAATTTAGGTCTTGTAGGAACACTATTCCATTTACTTTACACACAGACATATATATATATGTGTGTGTGTGTATACAGTTTACAATCTATATAAGCAAAGTGTGGCTTGCAATAATACATACCAAGCACATTGCTTTATTAAGGTGTATTATTATCACTGAAAACTGTCTCTTTCCTTACAATAGTATTGCATTACAAGTTCTCACCATTTCAAGTGCATTTGTGTTCCAATTAAAGGATTCATTTTGGCGTTTACATTCACACACACGTGTCCAAATTAAGTCCAAGTCATCTTGGTCACGAGTCCCATAAACATCTAAACTTTGAATTCACAACATAAACAAATGCCACGCATCTCTTGCAGGTCTTGATGCCACACCTGTAGCTGACTACTTTACCACTGGAGTCTGTACCATGGCAGTACTTCAGGCCACAAGGGTACCAACCAATGCAAGTCCGCAGTTCACATGTGCATGGCTTTGAGACAATTGGCAACTCCCTACACCTTGGGAATTTATAAGGAGGCAATTCAGAAGTTGCACTAATCAAAGAAACATAGTCTTTAGCCAGAGCTGAAAAATTAAGAAAAAAGCAAAACAAAATATTTTAAAGCAATGATACACAATAAAAAATCTTACATTGGTTGGGAAATGATAAAGAAATAGGTTGACTTATAAGCATAAGCTCAATATAGGACCATTAATTTATTACCACCAGACAATTACCTATGAAAGAATGTACATAAACAATGTTATGGTTTAATAGTCAGGTGACCCTGATATTACGGCAGTCTGACTTTCAATTAAATGAACAACCTATTGTTAGATCTTAAATAGGTGGTGGGTGAAACACCACTCATGTGTCACAAGATGTATCCTGATAACTATAGAGAAACAGTTTGTTACAGCTACAGACAAACCAACCAACCCCAAAACTTCTCACATTATCCAACATTGCGCAATAAATATCAGTGAACCATTCATTACTTGTTAGTAATTAAATTGTTGCAAATGTTTTAAGCCTGCAAATAAAATCTGTCTGAGCTATTTACTCTATATTATTAATTAGGATTTGTTTTAGTGCATCCAGTCTGTGCTAGGTATTTTTATAGTGGAATATAGATTGAGCAGAGGAAAGAAGCTGCCAGCCTCTGAAAGAGACAGTTGGAGAGCTATCACAAAAGCCATATGACATTTGAGTCCTAAAGAAAAGCCCTTATTGAAGACAGGCGCAGAAGACAAAAAGGAAACTTAAATAGACTGCCTGTACACAACAGCTTTGTCTGCATCAGATGTGGAAAAATATGCAGGTCGCAACTGGGTGTGCATAGACATGTGAAACACTGCACACATACTTAATCTTTGGAATGAAGACTTTGCCACTATTATGTATTATTACTCCCTTTTTATATTCCCTTGGCCTACTCTTACACTGCAACATTGATGAAGATGAGATGACAGTGGAACACCAAGAGATGATCAGGCTAATGATATATCTCCATTTTTCTTTGATTTGACTTGGTTGAAAGCTACACTTATCAGTTGCCAACAGCTCCTTAAATTAATCTGTCAACACTACCTGGTTACAAAGCCAGATTTATCCGCTTCTATTCTTTCTGGATGTGTGTGTCATTGTCTCAGCTGACTTATCTGACCCAGTTGTCTATGATCCCAACCAGGGAGAGACTTCATAGCTAGCAATAAAACATCAGCAATTCAGGCATCAACCACCCAAAGTAACATTCCAGTTTTTTTCACATATAGAAGTCTGGAGCTACTGTAATGGATCCCACTTGCTCAATTGCAGGTGAGAACTTCCTAGATCAGGAGCATAATTATTCTCTTCTCAGCAGAGGAAATCTTAATCAAAGTGTGGCAACTGGATAATCAACAGGCTAATGCAGAAATAACATTGCATTATCACAGGTTTAAAAATATGCAGGTCACAACTGGATTTGCGTAGTCATGTGAAACACTGCACTCATCCAGAATCAAAGATATTGCCATTATCATTATCTCTATATTTAATGAATTACTTAAATAAATATTTAAGTTTTAAAACAACCTAGTTGTTAATATAGTGTTATTGGCAGTATGTTTGACCCCTTATTTTGGTGGGACATATCTAATACATTAAAAACCTCTAGTAAAAAACAAAGCCAACCAATAAACACATTTGGATGTCATGCAACTCACATTTTGAAATAGTTTTGAGATCCACTTCCTGTGTATAAGAGCTGTCCTTGGCCTCACTGCAGATGTTGAAGGTGTATGGAGTTATAAGGTCAGCTTTCTCAATGTTGACTGTGAGGTCAAGAGTGTAGGTCACCATCTCTTTCTCTTCCTCGGGTGTTCGAACTGCAGTTGGGTTTTTCTGAAACATAAAAGACACAGTCTTACAATGTAGCATAAACTTAGACTGATTTTAGAATAGTAAAAGAATAACAAAGAACAAAAGATAAAAAAAATGTTGTGTTTCTCAAGAGTCTTAGAATACAATTATCATTATTTTACAGTAAAGAAACAAAAAAACAGCCTAATGGGACTCAATGGGGCAACAGACTTTGTGAAAATGATGGAAAACGAAGTTAAAAAGATGTAGAAATTACAGTATTATACTTGTATGTAATGGTTGCTTGATTTCTTCTTATTCATTCTCATTTTTATTGTTGGAGCGTTCAGATGACTAGACCAATATATGAGATGAACTGCGCAGTGGTTTCCAAAAGCTCTCCATATAGTTTTCTTTCTTTTGATGTGTTTTGGGGCCAGTGTCTTGTAGGGGCCTCTTATAAAAAGAGAGCAGTTTTGGAGGACATGGTCAGCATTCTCTGGGGACACTCCACATGGGCAGATTTCACTGTTTCCAATTCTGGTCCTGAGTCGAAAGATTAGACGTTGATCTTGTCGGGATAGCTTATAATAGGCATCATCTTTCTTGTGATTTGGATAAGAGCTTGTCCATTTCTCATTTATTTTATTTACTATTAGTTTCTTCATTTCTTCTGGATAGAGTGCAGAGTTTAACTGTGAGTTTTGTTCTCCCACTCTTGGCAAGTGTGTCAGCCTTCTCATTTCCTTCTAGTTGTATATGAGCTGGTATCCACTGACTAACAGTTTTTTTGCTGTTGTTGAGCTTTGTAAGTGCTGTCCTGAGTCGTTTAATATAAGAGGAATCAGAGTTTTCCAAGGTTTGTAAGGTTGTTTTTGCATCTGTGTGGGATACTTGGATGATTTGCTAGCATAGTAGCAGCTAGTTCTGGTGCTTCCCTTTCTGCTCTTTGGCTATCAGAGAGCTCTCCAGTTGCAATGGATTTTTCTAGTTTTTCTCCATCAGGCCATTTGATGAGTGTTCTAGCTCCTCCATTTGTGGTGGCTTTATGGGATGAACCACCCGTGTAAACTCTGATTGCTAGGATAATGAGTTTATAGAAAACAGTTCACTATTTCCTTGAGTTCTGTCAGAATGTAGTCCTTTCAATATGGTCTCTTATAGTAGGAAGAGAGCTTTCGTCCCAGGGTGGAGATTCATTATGATGTATCGTGGATTCCAGAGTTATTTTTTCAAGTTGGTGTTTCTTTTTTAGGTTTAGAAATTCCTGTAAGAAATTGGTCCTTTTGAGACGTTTTTTTGTGCCAGTTTTGTGGATCTTTGTTTTGAGTGGGTGTCTCTTCAAGGTTTCCAATTTAGTGAATTGGGAAAGGATTTTTACTTCTCTTCTTCATCTAGAGAGATCAGGGCAGTGGTTTCCTCCATAGCTCGTATGGGTGTTGTTTTGATTGCTCCTGTCATTATCCTTAGACCAATGCTTTGAACCATGTCTATTTTCCTTAAGTTGGTTTAAGCTGCTGAGCCCCATGCTGTGGCACCATATTCTAGAACAGGTCTTACGTAACTGGTAAAGGTTGTTTTTTTTTCAGGATGTTGTGATTAGCTCCCCAATCTGTGCCAGCTATTTTTTTTTCATAAGAGATAGTCTCTGGATGCCTTTACTCTGTTTTATCTATTTGGTTTTTCCAGGTTAATCTTGGGTCATAGGTGACTCCAAGATATGTAGGGGTGCCATTTTTTTTCTCTAAAACTTCCTTATCTAATGTTAATTTTATTGTTTGTTGTTTTATGACAATGAGAAGATGGTATATGTTGTCTTTTTTGTGTTGATGGATATGCCCCAGTCTTTGGACCATGTATTGAGTTTATAGAGAGCATCTTGTAATTGAAATTTTGATGTTCCTTCATATTCTTCTGTGCTAATTAAGGCAAGGTCATCTGCATACATGCTGCTTTTAACTTTTCTTGGTAGGTTTTGACTTAGATCGTTTATGAATATTAAGAAAAGTGTTGGGGATAGGACTCCTCCTTGGGGGACGCCATTTTTATACCCACTGTGTGACTCTTTGCCCTTGCATGCAAACTAAAGCTTTTCGATGATTTAGATATTCCTTTATCCAGTTGTA